CCAGGCACCGGCGCGCCTTGGCCGCGTACGCCTCGTCTGGGGGCTCGATTGCGATGACGCGCATGTAGTCGGCCCGCGCTTTCGAGTAGAGGTCAGGGTCGCCGCCGGCCGCCTGGGCCATCTTGCGGTGTATACCTCCGCGGCTCATCCACACCTTGTGCCACTTGGTAGCATCTACCCCAGGGGTTTGCTCGCAGATAATGGTCTCGACGTCCGCGAGGGCGTCCTCATGCCTGTCCAAGCCGACAAGGCAGTGAGCCCGGTTCAGGAGCGCGCTGCATCGCAGCCTGCCGGGGGACAGACAGTCGATCAACGCGGAGAAGGTCGAAGCGGCCTCTGCGTGATCTACGCTGCCCTGCTGCAGGGCGGCGGCAGTGGCATTCAGCACGGCGTAGGCCTCGGCCTCGGAGGCCTGCTTGGCCGGCTCCCACGGCAGCCGCGGGGCGGGCGGCTCGCCGATGCAGGTCTCGGCCTCCGCGGCCACGACGGGGCGCAGCGCGGGCGGCGGCGGCGGCGCAGCGAGCGGCACGGCGCCGAGCGGTGCGGGCTCGGGCGCGGAGCCTCCGGGCGGCGGCTCGGCGCCCGCGGCCGCGCCAGCCGCAGGCAGCGCCTGGGGCCCCAGCAGCGGCACGGACTGCAGCCGCCGCGCGCCCGCCGGCGCCTCGGGCGGCGCCCGTGCCGGCGAGGCGCCGCCTCCGCCGCGGGCTTCCGCGCGGAGCTCCGCGCGGAGCTCTGGCGGCGGCCGCGCCAGGCCCTGCGGCCCCGCGCCGGGGGCGGCGCCCCCCTCGGGGGGGCCGCCCCCCCCGCCGCCCAGGCCGCAGGCCCGCTGGAGCTCGAGGACGGCGGAGAGCAGCAGGTCCACGTGGCGCACCAGCGCCGCCGCCTCGTGGTCGGAGGCCTCGGTGGCAACTCACGGGAGCCTCCCATAGCAGTGGAGGCCTCCCCTGGATGGCGTCCGAGCAGATGGGGTCGAAGGATCGGGCCGCATCGCCAATGCATTGCCGATGCATCGGCAATGCATCGGCGATGCATCGGCGACGCATCGGCGACGTCGGCGACGCATCGGCGACGTCGGCATGGAGAAAATCAAGCTCCGCATCGAGCCGCATCGCCGATGTATCAGCGATGCGGCGCGATCCTCCGACACCATCTCCATCTAGGTGGCCTAGAACCATCTTGTCCGCTCTTGCGAATCGGCGCTCATCGACGCTAAATCGACGCTAATCGAGGCCAAACCGGCGCGAATCGACGCTCATCGACGCTACATCGGCGCCATCTCAACGACCCCCAGACGCGAATGCATCGAGACGCCAGTCGACGCTGAGGGCGGAAATGAGAGGGCACACCAGGCCCCCACCGACCACCTACCAGACCACCCCAACCCAACCCGAAGATCCGAATTTGACCCCAATTTCGGGTTGGTGGGGGTACGGGTTCCACATGTTTTTTTAGTGTTCCCCGACCCCCCCCCCACTGGAAATGGAGGGAAAATTGAGGCCTTCGGGTTGGGTTGGGTGGTGACCCACGACTTGCCACCGAAGGAAGCGGCCTCGGCAAGGCCCCAGGAGCAGCACCCGATGCAGCGGAACCTGCAGGCGGCCGCCGGGGCGCCCTCGAGGCAGCCCGCCGCGGCGGCGAGCGCCGCCATGCCGAGCAAGGGGGGGCCGGAGCCGCCGCGGTCCGCGAGGGGCCTCCTCGGGAGCCAAAGGCGGCAGCGGCAATACGCGCGCAGCTCTTACGGCAGAACTCGAGTATAGGGGATCGACTGCAGAGCCGAGCTGGCCCAGGGTGGGTCTTTCTCCCGCCGGGTCTATACGGGATATGCGTCTCGAGTGCTCCGGTGGATGCATCAAGGATCCCCTATGCCTTGCTCGTGGACTCGAGGGGAAAAATAGGTTGGGGGCAAGCCGATTCCGCACTCGATCCCCTACTCGAAGAAGAACGCACCAGGCAAGAAGCAGCAGGAATCTGACCCCTCCTCATCCTCCTCCTCCTCCTCCTCCTCCTCCTCCTCCTCCTCCTCCTCCTCCTCCTCCTCCGCAGAGTCCGCTCCCGAGCGCCTCCCAGGTCGGAGTCACGAGGCCGTCCCCCGAAGACCAGGGCCGCGCGCACCCCCAGGGCGCGAGAGACCCTCCCTGCAGCGGCCGCGGCCGACGCGGTCCCGCGCCCCCGTCCCATGCGCCCTCGCCCTCGTCCCCCACCAAGGAGGGAGGGGGGAGGGGGGCAAGGAGGGGTACAAGGAGACCCCCCCTACACCGCCCTCGACCCCCGCGAAGGAGGAAGGGGGGGGGGGAAGGAGGGAGGTACAGGGAGACCCCTCCCTACACCGCCCTCGTCCCCGAGGAAGGGGGGGGGGAAGGAGGGAGGTACATGGAGACCCCTCCCCACACCGCCCTCGACCCCCACGAAGGAGGGAGGGGGGAGAGAGGCAGGGTCGGACAAACGGTCGTCACGAGACTCTCCTGAAAAAAACGAGCTGCCGGCTCCGCCTGTCCCTCCT